CGGTACTGAAGCAGTGCCACCGCGGGACTTGTTATATAGCTCCCACCTTGCAGCTGTTCCCCTCGCCGGTCTCCTCGTGCCCTCTCCCCCTCCTTCACCCCTTGCTCTTTCCCCTCACCCTCTCCCCCTCACCCCTTGCTCTTTCCCCTCACCCTCTCCCCCCTCACCCCTTGCTCTTTCCCCTCTCCCTCAACCCTCTTTCTCACAGGTCTTTCTTTATGACGCAAAATATATTCATTTAGAGAAACATTATACTCTGCAACACGGTTGGGACTGCATGTTTTGTCGGGTGAAACACAGCTTCCTCTCGCACGTCTCCACTCTGATAATTTATGTCCGCGTTCTCCCACAGCGCAGGAATTGTTCGAAACCAGTAGGATTCTATTACCTCAAATTAGCAATAAATATCACTTGAAAATCGCTGCAGAGAAGTCTTAAATCTGCTACTGTCGCAGCCAAAGCATTTTCTTTCTTCGAGATGCGAGTACCACACTGGTAGGATCAACGTCTGGTCGCAGTTGTCACAAACTGCGTCACGATACCTGGGGTACCACAGCGACAGGGTCAACGTGCGACCGGAGTTGGTACCAAGAGTACCACAGAGACGAGGTCAACTAGGTCGAAGCAGTTACAACCTACGTCGTGATGTACCTGCTTGGTCTTTACCCGGCGTCCCAAGAATCTGGACAGTGAAAACATCAACAAATATCAACGAGGACTTTTTCCCTTGCCAAACCTGCACAAACACAGGGTTAAGGTCTTACCGGATTGACGTAACTGGAGGTAATGACACGTTTTCATTCATCGGGCGGTTTTTCTACGAGGGTTGGCGCGCAGCCCATAGTATGGGGGAGGGGAGAGGAGGGGAGAGGAGGGGAGGAAAACGGAGAAAACATAGGTGAGAAGGACAAATATGAGAGGGATGAAAGCACTGACAAGAGGGACGAACGATGGGGACAGAATAAGGTATAAAGAAAGCGAGGAACGGGAGAGAATAGAGAAAAAATAGTGAGGCATACGAATCTATACATACAAATATATGCAAGCGACGAGGATTCCTTCCCCGATTCTCATTAGTACCAAAATAGTACTCTCAACGCCACAGAACCAGATAAGAGAAGCTAATAGACATCGTTGCCAAATACCTACCCATGAGGTGAACATCCTTTAGTGTGAGCCCTCTTGTTTGGTAACAAAGAGGTAAGCCTTGTTTAAAGCCAGCAAAGTGTACATCTTTACACTGTTAATAAGGATGAACATTTCAACAGTACAGCGATTATTCAAGACGTCAGCTTAGTTGCTAGGTGCACGCACGAACCCACACCCACGCATACACACACACACACGCACACACACATACACACACACACACACACACACACGCGCGCGCACAAACACACACGCACACACACACGCACATACACAGACACGCACATACACACACACGCACAAACACACACACGCACAAACGCGCACAAACACACACGCACACACACACGCACATACACAGACACGCACATACACACACACGCACAAACACACACAAGTACATACACACACACGCACATATATATATATATATTTACACACACACACACACATATATATACACACACATACACACATATATACACACACATACACACACACACACACACACACACTACTTGATTTTATCCGTGTGTATTTTATCTCGCTTGTTCACACATATCCAAACGGCAATATACTTAACTGACGTAGTTAGAATACAACATAAAAAAAAAAAAAAACATATCTTTATCACAAGACACAAGTGGGTGAATAAATTCATATGAATATGATAATACAAACACAACTGAATTAACATTAAAATCAGCCATGGAAACTCAGCAGTGAACGAGATTGATGCCGCCTTTTTGTCTCTCTATTTGGTTTATAAACAACGAATCCAAAGCCATTTCGAATTCTCAGTAGTAACTGTTGTGGCAGATCTCATTGAGTAATATAAATGATGAGATTTATCTTTCCCTCTTCTTTCTCTTCCTTTCTTCCCGTAGTTGCTCTTCCTTCTCGTTATTGCCTTCTCCTCTATTCCCTTCCCCTTACCTCCTCCTCTTTCCTATCCACTGTTACTCTCATACTCCTAATTTTCCCTTTCTTTCCATCTCCTGATTTTCCCTTTTAATTCTCTCTCTCTTTCCCCCTTTCCTTCCTTCGTCCTTTCAACCCCTTTCCTTCCAGCTTCCTATTTTCCCTTTTAATTCCTCTCCATCTCCCCCCCCCTTTCCTTCCCTCTCCCTATTTTCCCCCTTTGATTCCCTCTCCCTATTTTCCCCCTTTCCTTCCCTCTCGCTATTCCCCCTTTCTTTTCCTCTCCGTATTTCCCCCCTTTAATTCCCCTTCCCTATTCCCCCCTTTCCTTCCTTCTCATTTCCCCACTTTCCTTCCCTCTTTAATTCCATCTCCCTATTCCCCCTTTCCTTCCCTCTGCCTATTTCCCCCACTTTCCTTCCCCCGCCCA